TCCACTTGAACTTCGGTCATTTTACTTTAAATACAAAACATAATGGCAAATTATTGGATCATGATGAGTTCAGTGTCATATACACTTAAACATAAGTCATTTTAATTTAAATACAAAACATAATGGCAAATTATTGGATCATGATGAGTTCAGTGTCATATACACTTAAACATAAGTCATTTTAATTTAAATACAAAACATAATGACAAATTATTGGATCACGATGAATGCAGTGTCATATCCACTTAAACATCAGTCAAATTAATTTAAATACAAAACATAATGCCAAATTATTGAATCATGATGCTCAGTGAGAAATCCAGCTGCACATCAGAATGTGTATCCTGAATGGTAGTTTAACACTGACATCACCAGCCAGTCAGGGGTACAGTCTCTTGTTGGTGTTTTTATCAACTTATCTTGGCTATTTATTTTTATCCAATTAAAATAGGACAAAGTTTTCAGCCCACCGAGAAAACACAATTGGCACAACTGTTGAAATTTTAAGTTACCAGAGTATCTAGAAATCAGTGAAAACAATCGCATGCATTTACTATGGGATATGAAAAAAACTGTAAAGTTAGAAAATGCTCAATCTGTTCCAAATGTTCATGTGATGGTTTAACACCTGAAATTAAGTTACAACAAAATGCAGGAAGAATACAACCCTTCAGAACACAAAAAACTCAATCATCAACTGGATCATTGAATCGACCTTCAAAAAGAACAAAGAACTTATTAAGTGCTTTCATGAATCATATCCTGATGAAACATTGCAAAAAGATTTCCCAACAAAATCTCAAATCATTTCTCTCATCTCATGAGTAAGGCGGGAGTTCAAGGATTCCCAAATATAGTTTTAAACACTAGTTGATACTAATACTACTGAGAGATCGATGTCTTACAACTCTGCAATAAAAGACACTTTTTCAACAATTATATGGAATCTTTCTTTCAACCTGATAAGTCAAAATAATGCATAAAAACAGGTTTCTGGTATGGGTGATTTTTTAGCACCAACAGCCTGGTACTACAAACATACTCATGGTTGGCAATGTCAGTGTTAATATTACAGCATATACTTCAGAAGAAAGACAAGATAAGCACACCGTTATGTTGTAGTAGTCCTTACACAGCCTTGCTTGAGTCAAATATTAAAAAACATCACAATTAGAGACTGGTTTTTTTCATTTCCCATTGTAACAACTGTGACTTATTCAATATGTGAGAAAGTTAGATTTACAAATAGAAATTCTAATTCAGTATGTAACACTGTTTTTATTAATCATAAAAAAAGTGACTTTAATCATTGACATGTAAACTGTTAAAAAATCAAAAACAGATACAGTCCATGTTTAAGCTGTGTATTTCAACATTTAAAACAAGTGTTGCACTAGTATGCGTAAAGCAGTTCCATGTAACACATATACAGTGATCATTTACACTCAGACACATACATTTTCTTCAGTCTCTTCAGTATCTGCTTCAAGCTCATCAGAAACCTGTTTTTCTTTTCTGAAATTTATAAACGTAGGCAGTATTACATGAAAGAACAAACATATAGACTTAAGTTCAAATATATTATTGAGTTTCAATGGCCTTCTGTAACATGTATTAAAGGACAAAGCAGTGTCTTTATTTTTTATATGAAAAAATTATGAGTCAAAAAAATTAACATTATGCAATTTAACACACAATCGCAAACAAAAGATAATTATTTTAAATGGTTATATGAATTAAAATGGAACTAATACTTCTCTAATATAAATTTTCTAAATATTTTTCTGTATTGCAAGAAGTGGAGTCAAAAATAAGTTTTTTAAATAGTCAATATAAAAATAATCATGAACAAAACATATTTAATAACAATTTACATACAAAATAAATGTATCATCTTCAATGAATGTTTCTTTGCTGCCTTTCACTGATAAACTGGTCCAATGAACAGTCCTTTTTCCTGTGACTTTCTTTACAGTCTCCTGAAATTTGACATTTTATAACAAAATAAAAGTCATAAAAACTACCAATGGAAAAATCAAAGAAAAAAAAGACAATATTAAACATCTACAAATGCATAAATAAAATAATATGTTTCTAAGACCATCCTGAGAGTGTAGGTACATACAATTCAGGTTAAAAAAGAATATGTTCCCAAATTTAAACACCTAAACAGTTAGCATAAAAATGTAAAATTGACCACTGAAATAGAGCAAAACTTCTGTTTGTCATTTCTAGACACCTTGGTAGTAAACAAGGGCAAAACCTTTTATATGAAAATGATCATATACTCACATTCTCAGTATTATATACAAACTCTAACAGCTTTACCTTGCTGAAATACAAATAAAACTTTATCACAATAATTTGATTACATAGACCATTTCACCTGTCCGGTGTGCACAACTTGTTTTTTAGAGTAAGTTGAATACATAAAAAAATATACTGATAAAAATTGAATTCCCTGCCACAGCCATAAAGTGGAAGAAGTTGTGAGAAATGCTAATACCTCTATGAAACAATTTATATAACCTTTCCCTTCAAAGATATGCACAGACTGAACATCAGATAACAAGTAATACAACTAATTAAAAAAGGCCTCCCCACAAATAAAATTTTGGATTTTATTTAAACTAACTATGAGGGTAAAAAAAAAGGTTTTATTTTCAATGGCAAGATTGATATGATGAACAATTCAATGATCATTTATGAATACCAGTAAGTTCATTGCAAAGAATCTACATACAGTCAGTGATCCATCACCTTAAAAATGCATAAAAGAACAAACTAATACAAAAAACTAATTCAATCACATCTCATGGAAAGAACACAACTTCTAAAAATATCAGCATAATAGGAACAATGAACAGCAACCCCACATCAAAGAGAGCTTATTTATCAAGAAAATGAGACTCAGACTGAATCAAAATGAAAGTGCAAAAAGTTTAGCATTAGAAGTATGAACCCTATGTTTGATTAGAGATCTTCTAATTGTGAATGGGTCAAGCTTCACAATAAATTTGGTTCAAAACACAATGACGTAACTTAAATGTCATACAAAATTCTTGAGATTTAAAAAACAAAAATCTTGTACAAGTAGTTCCATATCAATTAAAAGTCACCAAGACAGTTCCAATTTCTAGTTCAGAGCAATAGGCTCTGACATACAGTTCAATATAAAAAAATATATAGGTAAGAAGCTTATATAAATATATATACAACAAATAAAAAACAATTCCAAGAAAAACTGACCTGCCAAAATTCAATAAAGTTAACATATAAAGCCCCAAAGTTTTCTGAAATTCTTTTACAATGGTCTTGTTTTCCAGACCCCTCAGTTCCAATCACACAGACTCTCAGTGGTGGAATCTGCAAAATCCAGGGGATACAAGTTTACCTTAACTTTGCCTTTCAGTATTTCTAATCAATAGAAACTAACAAACTAACAACAAAACATTATTTTTCATGATTTTATATTAAAATATTGTAGCCTTTTACTCTCAGTATCTAAGGATAAAGATAGTTTCAAAGTTAAAACCCATCTCAGAAAAAAAAACAAAAAACATTACCTAAAATTACCTGCTATCTCTTGGCTTTGTACAGTGTATAAATTCATTGTTTCAATTATTCATGTGGTTTTATCGATGGTAAACACAAATGTTGTTACAGACACCATTTGCAAAACATTTTTATATCATGGTGTAAAAATAAAGCTGTACATTAAGGTGTCCTATTTTGATGTGTCACCACAATCATCACACTAGCTACTGCATGATGTACAATACACAAAACTGAATGCAAACATTTGTAACAAAAACCCTACAACAATTATTTTGACCAGCATGCTAGCTACAACAAAATGAGCAGAACACAAAACTAGAATGCATTAATTGGTAACAGAAAACACCAATAACAATTATTTTGACCAGCATGCTAGCTACAACAAAATGAGCAGAACACAAAACTAGATGCATTAATTGGTAACAGAAAACACCAATAACAATTATTTTGACCAGCAGGCTAGCTGCTACATGATGTACAGAACACAAAACTGGATGCATTAATTGGTAACAGAAGACAACAATTATTTTGACTATCACCTTAGCTATTACATGAAAACAGAACACAAAACTGGATCCATACTATAACTTTTAACATGTTTTGTATCTTCATGAATAATCTAAAGTTTTTATTATATATATTACAAGTCTTTTTTTAAACAGAAAAATCAGGACTTTTACTTAAGTATTTTTACTAAAAACTTGTCAGTGAATATATGGAGTTAGAGTATTGACATGGAGTCAGTATTGACTACAGATTTAAAATAATTTTCTCCATCTGAAAATTAGCAAGTTTTATTTGCGTAATCTCTAAAAAATTTTAAATATATATCAAATGTTCTTTTTCACAAAAACTTTATGTTTTATTTGTTATTTTCTCTACACTAAATCTATATGTATTCAATCAATATTAATATTGGACACGAAATTCCAAGGTACTTCTCCTGAGAGTTTCTACTTCAAACCTTTTCACATCTATTTCCTATCTTTATTTTATTGTTAGCAGCCGAAGTAGAAACCTGCTGAACATAAAGCAATGAATCACCGCCCTACCATTAGACTGTTTACAAAACATTGTAATACAACACCATCGAAGGAAACACACATGTGTGGCTACAATAAGCCAAGATTCCCACAGAGTTTAGTGTATTTCTGACCAAGAACATAGTGAAAGAGGATTTATTGGCTTGCTTTACAGTAGTCATTGCAAGAAGAATTGTTTAAAGTAATAAAAGTGCAAGAAAATTTTTTATGATATAGCTCTGTATAAAGTCTGAGCCTATCCAATAAACTTGGCAAGTATTTGTATGTTAATAAATGCTTCCAGGGTGGCTAAAACTTAGTGGTATAGGTACACAAAGTATGTAAGTGCTTATAAACATGCTTATATATATATTATTACTATTTACTCATAAATGCTTAATTTTTAGTTATTTTTCTTAAAACACATAACAATAAATAAAATATATATATAGAAAAACAATGATTTCTAGTAGTTACAGTGTTACGAAATTGATTTGCATTCATGTATTATATTTGCTAAGCCTTGTTTATTCTTTCAAATGGAGAGTGAAAATAACTAAATATTTCTTGACTTCAAAGATGCATTTTAGAAAACCAAAATATAATCAAATTACTGTATTGGTACACATAAAATCAATGTAATTTA